TGGTTTCCACAGTGGTTTCCCCCATGAGCCTCTGCTTCCCTAAGACAGGACTTCTTGCATTTGCCCACTGGTCTTGCCAGTCTTGGGCGGTGGTTTGCCCCGCTCTTTGTGGATCCAAGACTTGTTGATTTTTCGGTCTGTTCAGCTTTTTACTTGTCAGGACTGAGTGCAACTTGCAAAAACGGAAACTAGAAGTGTTCTTAAAAACTTATTCATAAATCACATGTTTAATGGATCAATTTAATTTAGGAAGTGTATATATATATATATATATATTTGTAGGATAAATCTCCAGAAGTGGACTGTAGGGTCAAAGGGTTTGTATAATTCTGGGGTTTTAAGTCTTGCCGAATTGCCAGTGCCCCAGTTTACAGTAATTCCCACCAGCGATGTTTGAGACAACACACACAAATATTTTAGAGACTTTTCAACACTGGCTTGGCTTATGTAACTTCGTTTAATGTGTTTAGCTAGGTAGATAATAAATCTGAGAGTAAGTCAACATATTAGGTGAAACTAATCAAGGGTGACATTTAAAAAACAAGCTCTTGTCCGGCAACTTTCCTATTTCAATGACACCCACTCAGCTGTTGAGGAGCTTGACCACTTAATGTAGGAGCTAAGTTACATGTATCTTAATGCCCAATGACATTTCATCAAGTTCGAGACTACTTAATTTTACCAATTATAAAGAATTCAATAATGTACAAATTGATGTAAATGGGCGGCTGACTGGCTCAGTCCGCAGAGCATGTGACTCTTAATCTCAGGGTCATGAGTTCGAGACCCACATTGGGTGGAGAGATTACTTAAGAAAAAAAGAAGTAGGGACATCTGGGTGGCTCAGTTGGTTAAGCGACTACCTTCGGCTCAGGTCATGATCCTGGAGTCATAGGATCGAGTCCCACGTCAGGCTCCCTGCTCAGCAGGCTCCCTGCTTCTGCTTCTTTCTCCCTCTGACCCTCCCCCCTCTCAGGCTCTCTCTCTCTCTCTCAAATAAATAAATAAAATCTTTTTTTTAAAAGAAAGAAAATGTTTTATTTAATTTTTAAAAATTTTTTTCAAGATTTTATTTTTTTTAACTTTTTAAAAAAATATTTATTTATTTGACAGAGAGAGAGCTAGCAAGAGCAGGCACACAAGCAGGGGGAGTGGGAGAGGGAGAAGCAGGCTCCCCGCTGAGCAGGGAGCCCGATGCAGGGCTCGATCCCAGGACTCTGGGATCGTGACCGGAGCCGAAGACAGACGCTTAACGACTGAGCCACCCAGGAACCCCAAGATTTTATTTTTAAGTAACCTCTACACCCAATGTGGGGCTCAAACTCATAATGCTGAGACCAAGAGTCGCATGCTCCACTGACTAAGCCAGCCAGACACCCGTCCCTAAATGAAATGTTTTAAACAAAACCAAATTGGTGTCAATGGAAATAATCTGGTTTTAACTATCTCATTACCTCAAATCTGCTACTTTATTTTTTTTAAGGAAGTTATAAATTATAATATCCTGTGACGGGGCGCCTGGGTGGTTCACTTGGTTAAGCATCTGCCTTTGGCTCAGGTCATGATCTTGGGGTTCTGGAATTGAGCCCGTCAGGCTCCCTTGAGCCCCTTGTCGTCTCCCTCTCCCTCTGTTCCTCCCCCCCTGCTCATGCTCTCTCTCTCTCTCAAATGAATAAGAAATCTTTAAAAAAAATATCCTGTGACATAACATCTTTAATTTTAACAGAATACACTTGTGAATGGATAAGCCTTTGAAATAAAGAGCAATCTGTATGAGTGAGATGTCAACCATCAGACATAATCCAATAATATAGTTCAATGGCTCAGAAGCCAGCGCTAGACAGAGTCTGAGTTCAAATCCCTTCTGGGCCACTTAGGGAACTCTTTGTAGGTTGAATTACTTGCAAATTACTTCACAAAACTTCAACTCCTTCGTGGATTGATGTGAAGATTAGATAAAATAACCAGGTAAAGGTGCTTATCACGCTGCTTGGAACACAATAATCATTGGTAAATGATTCCCTAAAGGAAGGTTCTCGTTCCTATTTTTTTGGCTCAAATGCCAACAGTTCCATGAAGACTCTCCAAACTCCTCAAAAACACGTTGCCCTCGTCTCAGTATTCCCATGAAATACTGAGTATGAAAATGACAACGCACAGGGTTGTTTTGGGTTTTTTCTCAAAACACACTATCTGCATTCAATTGTTTAATTAATGTAATTTGCAACACACTATTGTGTATTTAATTTACTCTCTAGCCTAGTTTTTCCAAATTTTTATTCTCCGTTTTTCCAATTCTTAAGAATTTCAGAGAAAGCATGCTCAAATTTATTTTGTCCTCCCCACCCCACACATTATAGTCAATGTAAGGCATAGCATTCAATACTTTTATTTTTCAATAATAGTTTTAAATCAGTTATATGTGAAAGTTCCCTCAGGATCTATATGTATTAAAAAACAGACCCTTGTCATTTATGTTCCTAGTTCCTAGGTCATATGGCCTCCGTTATATTTTCTTCATTTAGCGATGTGCAGATGGTATAAAATCCACTTTTTAGAGCAAATTCATTTTGTATATCTGAAATTCCCCATTCAAGGTAGTCCTAAAAAAAAAAAAAACTGAGATCTGATTTAATCACAATTTTGACAGCAAGCAGAACATATATTTAAATTAGCTAACAGCTTCCTACCTGTCACCCCCATAGAGAAAGACAAAACAAAACAAAAAAAACCTAGGCTCTTAAAACAGTATTTCAGGGGCACTTGGGTGGCTCAGTTGATGAAGCATCTGCCTTCGGGGCTCCATGCTCAGTAGGGAGTCTGCTTCTCCCTCTCCCTCTGCCTGCCACTTCCCCTGCTTGTGTGCTCTCTGTCAAATAAATAAAATCTTTTATAAAATCCCAATATTTCTGTAACGAGAACATAAGAATATTGAATCCTAATTAAAGAGATAGAACACTGTAACACCAATTTTATCCAGTGTAAGAAAAATTTTAAGCTTTATTTTGATAAACATTTCAGATTCCCTCATATCACAGCGTATCAATAAGCAAAATGTACATATACTGATTTTATACCTCATGTCAAGTCCCAAATTCCCAATCCTAGATAAGCAAGTTGCAAAATACAAGTGCCGATAATTTAACTATAGGTAGTATTTTAAACAAAAATAAGTGTTCAGCACTTTAAGTGAAATGAGGCTTTAATCAAAAAGAGACTTAATTCCACAGTGTGTCTTTTTTTCAACAGTAATTAGTTCAATCAAGTCTGTGATTCCAAGCTCGAGTGACAGTGTTATGTTTGAAGCAGACAAGAAAAGGCAATCAACTCTATAGTGGTATATTACAATTATGTGCTATATTTTTGGACAAACTCTAACTGCATTCAATTTTTAGGACTTGTTTTGGAGTCTAACAAAACAAGAATTAGAGGGAAGAGACATTATGATACTGGTGGACTTTGATCAACTTCCCACACTAATTGAATCACCACCAGCAGACTTCCTTGAGCTACAACTTTGATTAAGGAACACACAAATTTTACCCAAAGAAAATTCTGTACTTCCAGTTTTAGAAAGCAGACAGTTCTATGAAGAAGCAACCATTTAAATATATGAGTACACACATTCAAGTTTTTACAACTTCATGCCTTAAGTTTTGATTTCAGAAGTATCATTTCATGGACCCAGCATCAGATATTTACACGTGTTTTATACAATATAATTTTAGAAACCGTAAGTTGCACAAAATAATCATAACACTGTTATCAAATTCGTTTCCAGTGATCTTAAAAAAGACAAATTATAACTGTTTTTGCTCAGCTGAGATATCCAGTTATGGTTATTATCTAGAAAATCCTAAATTTATGTGAAAAAAGTAATCAAAGAAAATCTGTAACTTTGATAATTTTCAACTTTTAAAATGCATAGCTAAAAATAAATAAAAGGGCTCCTCTGGCAGCGAGTAACTGAGTCAAGGAGCTTCACAAACCCTAAGCCACTGTTGGAAGCTATTTTAGGTTTTACATAATTTCCAGTCTTAATACCACTATTTGAATTCAAATAAAAGACATGACCTTTGGAAGTCCTCGGCATCAGAAATAGCACTTTTGGACAAGAATCACAACTGGAGGCTGGAGGAAAAAATGGATCTTAGCACAATTTCTCTCAAAGTATGGGGAATCTCATGTAATCTATGTACAATAGAAGCAGTAGTTCAGAAATCTTGGGAAGCTCCAATTGCTTTAGCTATTTTTGTTTTACTAAACAATCTGAAGTAAGCATATTTACTTTTAAGAACAAAGGAAAACACAAAACAAGAAAAAGGCAGTATGTAGCATTTTAGTAGGAGTCGGGAGTCAGGGAAAGTTCTTTTCCTCCCTTGACTTTGGGCACATCGTCTTGCCTTTTTGTTCTCCACTTTGTTACAAAAAAACAAAACCAAATCTCTGCTCAAAGCAGTCCGACTTGAGAACACTGTAGGGTTTGCATATGATTTTTTTTTCTAATTTCCCATCCACCTAGATCCTCCCTGAAATCTAAATAAATATTTCAATGAAAACTTTTCTCCCGTTTTCATGTAGTCTGAGCCACTATATATAATTTATTGGGAAAGTGGGGGAAGGCAGCTAAAAATCACTGGCCGCTGCCAGCTTCCTCAGTCTGTCCTGTTTGGGTGGTTTTTTTTAATCATTTTAATTTTTTCGTACGATAAGGACAAAAACTGCGGCTGGAAATTCACACAGTTCAGGAATATGTGGAAAGAAAATTTACCACAATCCTTAAGATTCAAGTAAATGCTCCCAAATCAAGTATTAGAAAGCTGCTAATTAGCAGTGAAAATTATTAGCCACTCAAATTACAATGGCAATGTTTGCTGAGCTGTTTTTATGAAAGCTTCCCCTTATATTCTATAAGGACCCAAGTATTTGAGTCCACAAACTAGCCGCTTGCAAGAAGGAATTCTTTTGACCGAAATTTACCCTAAAACCAACGTTCTCAGTTCCTTTCTTTGCCCGAAATTGTTCGATCACATTTTAAGGTGGGGAAGTGTAATGAAGCAGGGTATTTTGTATGGCACTGTACTCTTTAAGAGGACCTAACATTTTAGTGAACTGGGAAACCTCGCAACATACTTAAACTCTACATATTTATAGATATGGTTTCTCCCGGCTGCATAATATAGACTGGAAGAAAGTGTGTTTTGACCCAAAAGGATACCCTGAAATGCTGTACTGTGATGATATATTCATTAGAGAGCATAATTTAAAAGGAAAGTGTATGTTTTAATAATTCCAATGTTTTGTTATTTGGCCTTAATTTTAACTTTTTCTTCTTTTTCCTTTTGATTCTGCATTTCTATTTGAGAGGACGTCTTTTATTTTTAAGCTGTGTTTAAGACTATAAAGGATATGCTAATGCAACATAATATAAATATAAATAATATATAAGCAATATATATGCATACATAGACACAGTGCCATGGGCATCAGACCACTGACGTTGTACTTTCAGGGTTCACACGAATAAGTCTGGATGCGTTCCTCAGGTCCTGGAGTTGCTTGGCGGGTTTCCCCACACCTTCTTCAAACCTTTTCTCCACCACCGGGAGGACGGTCTCATAGAGAAAGGATGCATTCTGTCTGATAAAAGCCTTTTTCTCCGGATCCTGCTCACACCGAAGGCTGTAATCCACATGCTGCACGGCAACCAAGATGATTTCCACCAGGCTCTCCAAAAGTACCATGTGCAGCTCTGGGAAATACAGCTTCAGGGCTTCTTCCAAGAAGCCCATGGTCTGTTTGGTGAAGGCAACCACGGTGTAACTCAGGTTCACCCAGCAGTCATCCCCGGTGTACTGCTCGAAGTTTCGGACCCCACAAGTCTTCATCTCCTCCTTGAGCTTGCCCAGGGCCTCTGGGGTCATCAAGTTCATCCTCCTCCACATCTCCTCAGAGTTGCGATGCTTAGTGGCCTCGATGATGATTTCTTTGTAACTGTGCAAGGCCCCTTGGATGTCTTTCACCAGAAGGGCGTGGATGATGAAGGTGAGGTCGAGCCCAATGTCACCCAGTTGCTGACAATGCTCCTTGGCCACTTTCACGCACTCAGCCGCGGTAGAGAGGCTCTCCTTACTATCAAACACCTGCTTGCTAAAAGCATCCACGAACATGCCCATGGCCGACCTCGCCCAGACCACAAAGGCAGAGTAGCAGCCACTGTCAGTGCCTGCGAAATCCGTCTCAAATTCCCGGGCAGTCTCAAGAAGGCTGGTAAAGAAGACATGGCACAGCTTATGAATGTAGAGTAAGGTGGCACCTTCGATGCGAAGCTGACGTATGGCAGTGTGCACAGCCGCTGCCCTGTTTCTCAAAAACAGCTCACAAGCCTTTGTGCACTGGCCAAGCCGGATTAGTTGAGAAACTGCCCTTCGAGTAGCCTTGGGACCACCTCTCAGGGAACGATCTGGGGAGAGCTCAAACATGAGCACCTCCGTGAGCTGCCGGACCCGCTCATCCACTTTGGCCCTTAGTTCTTTCACAGGAGGTGGACTGGGCTTATCCTCCAGGTAATGGTTCAACTTATCCAGCAGGTCAACGGCTCCTTCAAAGTCCCTCTGGGCAATACAGACATCCAGGTCTTCAGGCAACTCCTGGATCCATTCCAGTGAGAGATCCACCTTCTCCTCTTCTACCTCAGGAACAGCTGGTTCGTCATCATCTTCCTCCTCAAATGGGTTACTGGGCTTGGAAGTCACCTGGGGCGGTCCTCGCGGGGCTGCAGCCTCCTCCTGCTCCCTTCGTCTTTTTTCACTGAGGGCCCTCTTGGTTTCCTCCAGCACTTCCAGCCACTCTCGTTTGATTTTAGCATTTTCCGCTTGAAAAATACGGCTCTCGGGAAACATCAGCAGCTTGAACATGTCCTTCATGGGCGGGTTGTCCTTGACATTGACCACGGCCAAACCATCCAGGGGATAGAGGGCGTTGTAGCGATACATCCCCCGCCGCTGCGGCAGCCAGGTGGCCACCAGCAAACAGTCGTTCATGAGAAAGCCGTGCACCCGCTGCAGCTGGGCCATGTGGTCAGCCTCGTATTCCACCAGGTCCCCGTTGTATACCAGGTACTGCCCAGGCGTCTCCAGCAGGTGCCTGCAGCCTTCCACCTTCTCGAGTAGGGTGGTGAGAGTGCGCTGCTTCCCTTCCTCGCCCTGACCCGAACTGTCGCGGGAGGCACCCCCGGGAGTGGGAAAAAAGCCAGCCTGGCCCCGCAGGTGGTCTCGGCCCCCCGCGCCACCTCCCCCTTCCTCCCCTCCGGAGGCCGCAGCAGCACCAGCGGCGGCGGCAGCCGGCAGCAGGGTAAGCGGGATGCTCTCCAGGCTGCTCTTCTGCTCGGTCAGCAGATGGCTGAGCTGATACATCTCGCTCTCCAGGTAGGAGATCTCGCGGGCCGTCTCTATGAACTGCCGGTAGTTCTGGTAGACGTTGCGCTTCAGGTTCTGCGCCGTCTCCTCCGCCAGCGCCTGGATGCGCTGCCGGTGCTCCTGCAGGTCCCGGTCCCCGTCTGACTGCTGCGAGAGCTGCTTCACGTACATCCGCGCCTCAAAGCCCCCCGACTCCAGATGCCGCCGCAGGCGGGTCGCCCCACTGTCCGACATCGCCATCGCCATTTCCGTCCGAATCTCACGCAGTCACTGTCACTATCGCCGCCGCCGCTGCCGCCGCGGTCGAGACCCACCCAAGCCCCGCCGAGCTCCAGGGCTGAGGAAGCAGGATGGAAGAGAAACGAGTACGCCTGCGCCCGGGTCTGAGCTGCAGACAGCGCGCCTGCGCGGGGGCCGGGCGCAGACAGCGCGCCTGCGCGGGAACGCCCGCCGCCTAGGGCTCATGCGCCGGGGACGCTATTGCGGAAGCGAGTGGAGGGCGAGGCAGCGGGACGTGGGTACTGCGCATGGGCTGAGCATGACGTTGGTGTTTGAAGTTAGCGGCGAAGCGTAAGGCGGTAACCAGTTTTCTGAAACCTCCCTGGAGTCCAAGCCCTGGGAACCCACGATTTGAGCCCACTAGGAGGTGTCATGCCGAGTTCTCTTTTTTAAGCCCCAGAATCTTGGCTTCGGCGTTTGGGGCAAACTCAGTTTTCGTTCTAGAGCCGGTTATTCCTGAGTTCTCGCGAGACCGGCGGGCCGACCCGAGAGCAGCCCGAGAGCAGCCCGAGAGCCGGTATCTCCTCGGAGCTTCGGAGACGTGGAGCCAGCGTAACGCCGGCGGACGCCGCCTGGGATCCCGGCCGTGATGGATGAGGATCTGGTGTTGGCACTACGGCTTCAGGAGGAGTGGAACTTGCAGGGGTCGGAGCGCGACCGGGCCCGGGCGCCTCTGTCGCTGGTGGACGCGTCCTGGGAGTTGGTGGACCCAACCCCGGATTTGCAGGCCCTGTTTGTGCAGTTCAACGATCGGTTCTTCTGGGGCCAGCTGGAGGCCGTCGAGGTGAAGTGGAGCATGCGAATGACCCTGTGAGTCCCGAGCCCCGCTGGGGAAACGAGGGCGGTTGGCAGCTCCCCTGCAGCCCCCGCCCCCTCCGCCCCGATGGGCCCAGGGGGAGTGAAACGCGGGGGTCTTGTTTTGGACCAGCAGCTCATCTTGGTGTATCTGTCTCTTCCCTACTCTATCTCTCTCCCGCTCTAGCAACTTTAAGAAACCTTGTGTCCCGTCCCGGTAACAATTTGATTTGTAAAGGACACAGTAAGAGAAAAGGATGTGTCTTTGGATCTCCTCTGATTTGAAAATAAATTAACACATTTCTGACCCAGGAGGGAGAAGCAACCAGAGTCAGCCCCTAAGAAAGAATGCCGAGGAGGCAGCGAAGCCTCCCAAGGATGTGTGTTGTCCTCTTCTATGCTCCTTGAGATATCACCACTTAGTAGTGAGCTCAGGTGTTAGAAGGGACCTGGGGTTGACGTTTCCATATTTCTGGACCCAAAGGATCTTCGGGGATGCCTCTAAAAGGATGTACACTAAGGTTGAGAAATCCCGGTTTGAAATAATCTGTTCCTGCACATGAATGGAGTTAACAAGTTTAAGATGGGGTTGTATACCACGGTGCTTGTTTTTGAAGGGATACAAAACAGCCTAAAGTAAGACGGATTAAGATATGACACGAAACTGTGTTTAAAGAACAAATCTCCTTCATAAAGGCTTCTATTACAGTTTTAGAGATGTGCTAATGGAGATCTGGCTGTTAACACAAACTGATTATAGTTTGTAGGGAGGAGACTGGGAGCAGCAGAACAGGATTGTCCTCTTTGGGTTCCTGCAGCCTGCCTGGCTAGGGCAAGGGATGCACTACTGTTGACAAATCTCTCTCACCGGGGTGAAATGCAAATTATGTCCTAACAAAGAAGGTACACTAGTGTGAACTGCCCAAGAATGTATAAGGATTTACTCTTTCATCTCTATTTCTCTTTTGTGTATATTAGGTAAATAATGCTTTTGTGGTGGTTGTTTTCCAGGTGTGCTGGGATATGCAGCTATGAAGGGAGGGGTGGAATGTGTTCCATCCGTCTCAGTGAACCTCTTTTAAAGTTGAGACCAAGAAAGGATCTCGTAGAGGTATTCTTTGCATAAACTTGATTCTTAGCTGCGTAATTAAAAATGTTTATTACTGATTTAGACTGCTGTGAATTAACCCGTAATGTAAAAAAAAAAGAAAACCTGTTTTTTTGTCATTGCAAACTTTAATTGCAGGGCAACTGTTAAGAATTACCTTGTATTTTTATAGTTCTTCACAGCTAAAGGCTTTCGGGTATATTATCTAATTTGATCTTCACAACAACCCTGTTTTTGTACAATGTGTGTTGTCCTCCTTTTTATAAATGAGGATGTTAAGGTTCAGAGAGGGTAAGTAACTGGTTGAAGTTACATATTTAGGAGCAGAGAAAAAGTTAGGACCCATATCTTCCTACTGAGGCACACAGATTTTGATTGTTCAGCCACCATGGTGCCGCCCTCCCAGAATATCTACCTGAGCTGGTATAACCACCAGCATGGGCGGGGGCACGCTTCACTAGCAAAATGGAGCAGTGGGAGCTCCCAGATTATGGTTAGTTGAGTCTAGAAGATGCCTGAAATTCCCCAAAATGCACCCAGTGTGACTGGTCTTGCCCCAGTTATATCACTTAAAACGAATGCATGAAAGAGGGTAGGGTGGTAGAGATTGGATGGGAGATATGTTAAAACATGCTTGGAAATATGAACGATGGTGTTTTTAAGGATAATGAAAGGTAATGGGTTTCAGAACAATGTGAATATACTTCACATTCCAGAACTGTACACTTAAAAATAGTTAAGATGGTAAATTTTATGTTACGTGCTTTTTACCAACAATTAGAAAAAAAGTAAATGGTTACTAAGTGTAAAATGGTACAGCAGAAATAATAAAAAAAGAAAGGAGAATAAAGGAATAAAACCCTGCAAAAAAAAAAAGGCATAAAGACAATATCAGTAATTATATTAAATGTAAATGGACTAAGCACTAATTAAAGACATGGAATGACATACTAGATGAAAAGAGATGTGCTTAAGATAGTGACACACATGCATTAAATGTAGAAGGTTGGAAAAAAGTATATCATCCAAACAATAACAGAAAACTGTTGTATCAGACTAAAGATTTTAAGGGAAGAAGTTTTACCAAAAAAAAAAAAAGGTTAACATTTTAGGATGATAAAATAATCTATTAAATAAAAACATGATTTGATCCTTAAAAGTAATAACTTTAAATTACATGAAGCATAGATTAGTAGAAGCAAAAAGAAATAATCCACAATCATAGTTGCAGATGTTAACACAACTCTTTTGGTAACACAATGAATAAGCAGGGGAAAAAAGTAGCATAAAAAATTTTGAACAAATCAACCTTATGAGGAGCTCTAATTAGAACAGTAGTTGCTTAATGAATATTTATTATGTAAATGATTAAACACACGAACAATTTTTTTTTTATAAAGGTAATGGGCGAGAAGAGAATGGGAAATGTGTGGTAATGCTATCAAGTGAGCATTTGCTGTTGGCAGAAAGTTACAATATGAAATCGGGGTAAGAAGGACCAAGGAGGAACAGTGTGACTCTGGTCTATACATAGAGTATGACCTAAATTATAATGAAGAAGATTCAGAAAAGGAAGACTTTGGTTGAGGACAAAGAAGAAAAGCTTCATGCACGTGTATTTTGTGACTACTGACATCACCACTCCTACCACTCACTCCTACCACTCACTAGTGTTAATCTAGTTAATAGTTAATCTAGTGTGTATAGCCCTGCAAGATCAGGATATGCCCATTTTAGGGATGAGGAGCATGTTGTAACTTGTCCAAGGTCCTGTGCACAATCAATAACAAATCCTTGGTTTAGGCTCTAGTTTCCCTGGCTCTAAAGCTCTTGTCCTATTCCCGGTACCATTTGGCCTCATTACTACCACTTTATAATTGTTACTCCTGCTATTTAAAACATGGAAGTGAGCCTTATGGGGCAGACTGGATTCTGACAAGTAGAGGTGGTAGAGGAAGACTACTCTTGGCACAAGGAATGGGCATGCTATGAACAAAAGTGAGGCATGAAACAGGGCGTATTGAGGACCAGAAGTAGTTCCTTTTGGCCAGAGAACAGTGGGGGGAAGTAGAGGTGTTTTGGGACCACATTGAGTAGAGCCTTGGATCTAGCCTAAATGTGGAAAATGGTAGATATATAAAAATAGAATTGTTCAGTATGGTGTCATGTGCCATTTTCAAGGTATTTAAATTGAACCCAAAATTAGGAACCTAAATTTATTTCTCCTTTATAAGAATAGTTACTGATCAAGGTGCCTGGGTGGCTCAGTTGGTTAAGCGTCTGCCTTCGGCTCAGGTCATGATCCCGGGGTCCTGGGATCGGGCCTCACATCAGGCTCCCTGCTCAGCAGGAAGTCTGCTTCTCCCTTTCCCTCTGCCTGCAGCTCCCCCTGCTTGTGCTCTCTCTCTCTCTGTGTCTTAAATAAACAAATAAAATCTTAAAAAAAAAAAAGAATAGTTGCTGATCATTACTTTAGAATGTTGGAAAACATTTGAGATGTAGAATGCCCTTTGAGTTTGAGTCCCAAAAAAGTGGCATTTACTTGAAGAGATTAAGTTCATTTTCAGAGATGGAGTTGATTATTTTATTTTATTTTATTTTATTTTATTTTATTTTATCTTTTTAAAGATTTTATTTATTTATTTGGCAGAGAGAGACACAGCGAGAGAGGGAACACAAGCAGGGGGAGTGGGAGAGGGAGAAGCAGGCTTCCGGCCGAGCAGGGAGCCCGATGCGGGGCTCGATCCCAGGACTCTGGGATCATGACCTGAGCCGAAGGCAGACGCTTAACGACTGAGCCACCCACGCGCCCCCGGAGTTGATAATTTTAAAAGGGATGTTTTCGTAATGATCAAGTTAAAATGTTTGATTCACCCATTTTTCTGTTCAGCATAATTTGTTAAGACTATAGTTCATTAATGGCAGTCTAGTTCTTCTGATGGAAATTCTTTGTAAAAAATTTATGAACAAGGTTTGCTCTTGAAGACCTTTATGACTTTCACTTTTTTTAAAGCATATATATTTTTTAAGATTTTATTTATTTATTTGAGAAAGAGAGAGAGGGAGGGCACAAAGGGCAAGTGAGAGGGAGAAGCAGGCTTCCCGAGGAGCAGGCAGCCTGACGTGGGGCTCGATCCCAAGACCCTGGGATCATGACCTGAGCCGAAAGCAGACGGTTAACCGACTGAGCCACCCAGGCGCCCTGTGACTTTCACTTTTTAAAAAATGTATTCATATTTCTTTAGGATACATTATAAAATAGCAGCCTTAAATACTTTCGTGAATTTTGCACCCACAGTTCTGCATCCTTGGTGTGGAAATGAGCAGTAGGCTGTTGTTTTAATTCGAAGATTTACGTAAATTCAGATGAAATTTGGGCCAATCGCAGGATTTACGATCAGATGCTATTCACTAGAGCAGTAGGTTTTATTGTTTGTTTCGAAATTTTACATGATTCAAAAATCCCAAAACTGTAGAAAGGTATACACACAGAAATGTTGTCCTACCCCATCCCTCTCTATGCCGAACTTCCCTACTACTATAGGACACTGTTGTTATTAGTTTCTTTTTTGTTTCATTTTTCTGTTTTGCAAATATTTTTTTTAAAGATTTATTTATTTGAGAGAGAGTGAGCATGAGCCTCCGGGAGGGGTGAGGGAGAGGGAGACACAGGACCTCAGGCAGACTCTGTGCTGAGTGCGGAGCCTGCCGTGGGGCTCGATCTCGCAACCCTGAGATCGTGACCTGAGCTGAAACCAAGAGTCAGACGCTTAACCGACTGTGCCACCCAGGTGCCCCTGTTTTTGCAAATATTTATGTCCATTCTTACTCCCTCCCCCAATCACCTAACATACATACTTCTCATACAAAATACCGTGTACGTTCTTCTGTACTTTGTCCTTTTCATTTAAACAGTATACCCTGTAGGTTTCTCCAAATGATTGCATAGAGATCTTTTTCATTCTTTTTTAGGTCTGTATAGAATTCCATGATGTGGATTTTCCCTAGTTCCTTCAGCCAGGCCCCTATTGCTAAACACTCACTTCCAGTCTTAACATTATAAACAGTGCCACAGTGAAAATGCCTGGTACACGTGACCTTTCGTATTAGTCTGAGGATTGCTGGGTCAGAGGATACATGCATTTGTGATTTTGTGAGATGTTACCAGATTCTCCTCTGTGAGGGTGTGTACCATTTTTCAGTCCCATCAGAGATAGATGGGAATGTTTTTTTCCTTTGCTTTACTAACTGTGTCAAACTTCAGGAGTTTTACTAATCTAGATAAGCAGGAGTGACCTACTGGTGAACCATTAGTTTGTACTTGTTTTTATAAATGAAGTGCACATTTTTTTTCGTTTATGGTTTATCCTAATTTTTTATCATTTTAAAATTTGGTTTCTATAGTATTGACAGAGACTTCATATTTCATATCTTTTTCTGTGAACCCATCTATGACCTTTGCCCACTCAAAAATTGGGTTACTGGTCATTTTCTGTTGACTTTAGTAGCTCTTCATGTTTTAAGAATTAGTAGCCTGAGAGATGCATTGCACATATATCATTCTGAATTTGTCTTTTCAGTCACTGTGTTTTCTCCCCCACACAGAATTTTAAAGTTTTTATGTAGTTGAGTTCATTGATCTTTCCTTTTGGGTTTTGATGAAGAGTTAAAAAGGCTTTTCTTGGAACACAGAGTTCTTAACCTGGGATCTGCAGAGCTTCGGAGCACATATGCAAAGTTTTGTGAATGTATGTGTACGTAATTTTTCTAGAAAGTTCATGACTTCTATCAGTTTCTGAAAGGAGCCTGTGATCCAAACAAAGTTAAGACTCCAGGTAGAGTAAGAAAATGCATTTTTATTTTCGAAAGCACCCTAACAATTTGTTTTCTGTTTCAGACCCTCTTGCATGAAATGATACATGCCTATTTATTTGTCACTAATAATGATAAAGACCGGGAGGGGCACGGCCCAGAGTTTTGTAAACATATGCATCGCATCAATCGCCTGACTGGAGCCAATATAACGGTATATGATTTAAATAAGAAATAAATATAACATTTACTAATTTAAGTAATTAGTTTACTAAATATTAAATAAGTATAACATTTATGATTTTTAGTAGTTATTCAGTAATCCTTGGGATTTAACTAAAAATAGACAGCAGGTAGGAATAAATACTGTCTTTGAGGATTTTCCACAGGGAGTGGTAGACGGGCGAAGAGAAGCTGACTGGCTTGTCTCGGGCTGGGCCTCACCGCGGCCCCCCCAAGGCCTCTGGGCATAGCTAGGGCGACACTGGATGCAGAAGTGGCTGCAGGCCTGCACTACCTCTGGGTCGTTACAACTGTCCCTTAGCTTCCTTTCCTTGTGATAATCTCCTCCTTCGGTCGTTCCTGTATCTGCTGCCATTTCGTGTGTTGTTCCCATCACCAGAAGTCTTCCCGGATTCAGATTTCTACGTGTTACTGTAGGAAGCAGAGCCTGGGGTCACAAAACCCAGGAGTCTGATGCCGGGGTTCCGATGCTGGCTCCATGGAGATGGCCAACGGTGGGGCCTCCACGCAGGAGGAGGCAATGAGGGCAGTACGGATACTTACCTGCGGGTCCTTGAGGATGAAAGGAGAAAATACACACAAAACATTGTAGCCCGCTTTGAGTACAAGTTAAAATACTAGGTGTTTTTATTATTACTGATTCATTTTATCAAGTGACTGTACTGTGCCTTTTCTCCTGCCTCCCACAGCCCCCAGCTTGTCTTGGTTCTGAGGCAGCTTTCCAGCCCCTGTGCCGCTCCTTACACATCCTCTCCCTCACATGCGCCACTTCCTCTGTGCTCCGGCACGTGCCCTGCGTCTTTGTGGCGGGCCAGGACCGCGCCGTCCTTTGAATGTCCTCGGCAGCTCTTTGACCTTTTACAGTATTTTATTCTGAACACAGGGCGGCTGTTGTCTTTGTACACCTTTTTGTGTAAGATGTGTGATGCAGCGCCCCCACTAGGGCTTAATGGGTGTCGCATCGGATTGAACCAAATAGACTATCCGTTCCTGCAAAGATTTATTTCCTGCCTTTAAAAGCCAGTAAAGGGCAGCATGGTGGAAAATGGAAAGTGCCCACCTTCTGTATATTTTTTTCTAGCTGTTGGCTTTAATTTTCTAGAGAGCTCATGTAATTATCGAATAGAGTTACTTCAACATAAGAAAGTGGCTTGCATTAAAAAAGCCGGAGTCCCAACTAGCAAAAGAATTGTGGAGTTGCTGGTACAGAAGGCTTTTAGTTTCCTCATTAGCGTTTTCACTTTAAGCCAAGTCCTGGTATACTTCCTATTGTTCAGTTGGAAGAGGATATATTCTCTTATCTTGCACGTCTGTGTGTTTTCATTTAGGAGAGGTTTTACCGAGTGGACACCCCTTGCTTTTACAGGTTACATCCTGTTATAACAAACTCCACAGGGCATCCAGTTGCACAGTTTTATTTTAGTGACGACATCGTTAAAGAAGTCACATCCCCAGGCTGTAGGAGTTACAGGAATTGGAAGCAAAACAGATCCAGTGCCCTGGCTGTTTGGCCAGTGAATTAAATGAAGAAATCTCAACATAAGGGAGAAGGCAGGTGTTCTGTACCTCTTTGTCCCCACCCTCCAGGGTCTTGTGCACTGAACATCACGTGCATGCACTATCGGCATGCTTGGCAAGGCAGAGAGGTGTTTTGCTTAGGATGGAGAGCCAGTGTAAAACTTAGCTGTAGCGTTATAGAAGGCTTCACATTCTTTCCCTCAGGGAAATTATTAGAAAGTTAAAGGTCTTTGGTTAAAAAAAAAAAAAAAAATCTCATCTATGGCTGCTCCTTACCTCGTACAGTAGTAATGTTCTACTGAGAAGACAGAAGAGGAAGGCACGAGGAGAGTTATTTAGGATTATCGGGTCTTCATTGGTGCCCTGCTGTCCTCAGGACCACCAAGGCGGGAGGGCTAACTTTCCTTTCATCCAGACCGCTTTCACCTGTAAGTAAGGTCCCTTCTAGAGGGTGAAACTAAAGGATCCTGTGTAAGGACTGAAAAGCACATTTGCAGAGAATTTTCTTTGAATCAATGAATGAAGCTTTTCATTAAGTCAGGCAGCAAATACTGACTGAGCACCCTCCCTGTGCCAGAGCCTGTATTAGCTGCTAGGGACACAAAGATGAAAACATTTGAAATCTGGGGAGCTTTTCGCCTTCAGCAGATAAAATGATGCCCCATAAGGCTCATTAGAGAGACACGAGCAAAGAGCTTCGAGAACGTGGAGTGGGTGTCACAGGGGCTGCATCGGGCAAGAGACTTGTGTGGGTGGGGTGGGGCATTTATAGGAGATAGTCCAGAACCCTTTGGGAGTGTTACTTGTAGGGGAAAAGATCAGTTGAGCAGTGGGAACAATTCTTTTATTATGGCATTATATAAAATTGTGTCTTTATCCTAATTTTTGATTATTTTAAAATCTGGTTTCTAAAGCTTTTAGCATTGATAGGGGCTTTTATGGGTTAAAAAAAATGTTTTTGTCCTCTAGTCTCACGTCTCTCTGTCTTTAGAACAGTTCATGAAGCGTTAGCTGCTGCCAGTCCATTAAAATGAACTTTTGCGCAGAAGCTAAATCTAGTCGCTGTCTTCCCCAAAGCGTCACCGCAGAAAGCTCTCAGAAACTGGAAAGGTCCGACAGTGGAAGGCCGCTTGTCTGTTTCCTTACGCTTGTTAGCTTGTCCCCTTAACACTGAGTGCTCTCTCTCGCCCAGGTGCACCACACTTTCCACGACGAGGTGGATGAGTACCGGCGACACTGGTGGCGCTGCAGCGGCCCGTGCAGGGACAGGAAGCCCTACTATGGCTACGTCAAGCGCGCCACCAACCGGGCGCCCTCCGCTCACGACTACTGGTGGGCCGAGCACCAGAAGACCTGCGGCGGCACTTACATCAAAATCAAGGAACCAGAGAACTACTCCGGGAAGGGCAAAGGAAAGACAAAACTGGGGAAGCTGCCAGCAGCCACCGAAAATAAAGGTAACTTGCCGTCTGTGCTTCGCCCTTGGCTGGGACCACGGTTCACCGCGTACAGCCGGGGCTGGCCTCTGGACGACTGCTGTTAGGATGAGCTTAATAAGGATTCTTTCTCCTAGAGACATTTGTAAGCGTGGCCTTAGGAAAAAAATCCCCCCGTTTATGAAGTGATGGTAGAAAAATGTACTTTGCTCGATGTAGATGGGAGTTAAAGTGGAAATAGTTTCCACGGATAATCCTGGAGGGTAAAGTCCCTTTCCCTGCCTTGACTCGATGAGTCATTGGGAAACAGAAGGCAAAATGATTGTCACAATAAAAACAATAATTCAAATAACAATGCCCGGAATTGGTCCTGACCCCAGCCCTTCCTATCGGTTGGATTCTAGCCGAGTGACTTCTGCTGTTGCTCTATGTATTTTCACTGGGAGAAGAATGGGAAAAGGCTATGACATGTATGTGCTGGTGCTTCATCTTCAAGATTTATCCCTTTCCTATGAAGTTCAGAGTAACCGCCTTTTGAAGAGGGAACTACGTCACTAAAGTTAATGCTTCTTCCCTTGGGATTTTGGTGGTTGCATCGAGAAACGTAATAAGCTACTCTTCCCAAATCCAAAATGTTAAGTGAGGAGCTAGAGAAGAATTTACATGGAGAGATTATATATCCTCATTCTGTGGGAGTAGGAGAAAAGGTAAGAATGTGGGAGCAGACTTTTCCCTCTGGAACTAAACTTCAAGAACGCTAAGTGATTTTCAGGGCGCCTGGGTGGCCCAGTTGCTAAGCGCCTGCCTTCGGCTCAGGTTGTGACCCCAGGGTCCTGGGATCGAGCCCCGCATCGGGCTCCTCGCTCGGCGGGGGAGTCTGCTTCTCCCTCTCCCCCTTCCCCTGCTTGCCTGCTGGTGTTCCCTCTCTTGCTGGGTCTCTCTCTCTCTCTCTCTGTCAAATAAATGAATAAAATCTTTAAAAAAAAAGAATGCTAAGTGATTTTCAGGGTAAAAGTCCCTTTGCTGGAGTGTTTGGATGCTGGAACTCCTCACCTGAATAGGAGATGTGTCTTATTCTTTGTGTCCTCCCTGCCCCAGGGCGCCCTGACCGTTGCAGAGCGTCCTCCCATTGATAGGTCATGAGCTTAACATTTGTTGCTGTATTAATTCCGAGTCAAGAAAACCTTTGCTTCTTTTGCAGAGAAACCCAACAGAGGAGAGACCCAACTGTTAATCCCTTTCAGCGGGAAAGGATACATTCTCGGAGAAACGAGCAATTCGCCTTCATCTGGGAAGTTTGTCACTCCGTATGCTATTAATAAAACCCAAGATCTTTTAAGTCAAGACCACTCAGCAAAAGCTCTCAGACCTAACTCTAAAATTGAGGTGAAGTTGGAACAGAATGGTTCGAGTAAAAAAACTCCTCTAGTGTCCCCTGTTCTCACTACCAGTCACCAAAATGTCTTAAGCAACTACTTTCCTAGAGTCTCAGTTGCCAGCCAGAAGGCCTTCCGAAGTGTGAACGGATCTCCAGTGAAAAGTCTAGCAGCTGGTGACATCACTAAAAACTCAGTCTCTTCTGGTTCTCAGAGAAGGGTCACCTCTCCAAAGAGGTCCCTGAGAAATTCTTTAAAGGCACCGGAATCAACGTCTGTGACTGCACCCCAGGAGCTGAGTGGGCCTGAAGAGACCTTCCCAAGTAAACGACCCAGGCTAGAGGACAAGACCGTTCTTGACAATTTTTTTATCAAGAAAGAGCAAGTACAAAGTGGTGGAGGTGCTCCGAGGTGGAGTCCCCATCCTACAGCTGCGACGCCGAACCCCAGCAGCTCAGCCAGAACGGTTGATTGTCCCGTTTGTCAGAGTGAAGTTGTGGAGTCTCAGATTAATGAGCACTTGGACCTGTGCCTTGAAGGTGATAGCATCGAAGTCAAAAGCTGAAAAAGTCTTGGAAAAACAAACGGGTGTCACACACCACGGTATTACCCCACGAAAGGGTGTCAGCCACTCAGGAAGTTCTGGTGAATACTAAGATCTGTGGGTTATGACCTAGTTTGATTTGATGTATACCCATGTGAGACTGTAATGGGAAACACCCCACGTCGAGAGGGGCTGTGTTTTCACTCTTGCCTCGTGTACGCTGTAGCCGTTTATTGTGCGTGTATACACACATGATTTTTAGGTACTGTTGTTCTCTCTTGCTCTTAAAGGTATTTGAGTCTGTTAATGTTTTTACTTACAGACTTTCCTCAGAATACTCACTGAGGAATCCTGTCAGGTATTTGGTTAAACTGCATACTTCTTTATTAATATTAAAACTCAGCCCCAGAACTGAAGTTAATATTCAGAACGTCAGACAGACACACTGACCAAAAACACAATCTGGAGGACAAAGTGTATCAGTTGTTTTAGGGTACTCAGCCGTTCTTGGTTTTTGGTTTCTTTTTTTAATCTTAGCAGGAAATACATTTTCTGTATTTTAAAGAATTTTATTTTCTGTCATCACTAAAAAGGTGGCAGCAGGTTTTAGGTTGAAGTACAGAAGGAATATAGTAAAATAAAAATTTTAGACTCTTAGTCCTGCACTCCTGTAGGCCAGAGTTGAGCGGTTTTCTTAGGATGTAGCTGAATGAGTGGGTCAGGTGCTTGAGTAACTGGCAGAAGCCACATCACAGAGTTGCCTAGTTTATGTTAACAGTGGAACATTATCTGGAAACAGTATTATGAACCTTAGGCCAAAGTTGTAACCGTTATAATAAAAAGGACTACCACTTGTGCATTTTAAAAAATATACTTCTTTTTAAAAACATCCCTTTCCAAGTTATATAGCAAAGAGACAAAGGTACTTTTATCAGTTTACTTTCTCATGCCTGTACCTCTAGCATGTTGGCTTTTTCCCAAGAGTTTAGTTCACAAGTTTTCTTTTTTCTGACCTTTGTTGCGACATGACCCACACACCTGAGGGGCCAGCTCCTAAGTGTGAACTTGGACATCGTGCTCTCCTGGGCAGCGGCTGCCCAGGTCACGGAGGGAACGTTGCAGCTCCCGCAGGAGGCGGCCGCGTGGGTGCCTCTTCATGGCACCAGCCACAACCTCCAGATGTAACCGCTGTTTACATCTCGTCACCACGGGTTGCTTGAGCTTGTTTTTGAACTTCATAAAGCACTACCCTCGTTGCCACGTTAGAAGTCCCTTCTGTTTTCATTGCTCTGTAGTGTCTGTCTGAATATGCCAGTTTATCCGAGCATCCTAATATTACTGGACATGGGAATTAGTCCCAGTCTGCAACTGGCTATTGTGAATAATGCTGCTAAGAAATTCTTACTCATTGCTGTTGGGCATAGACCCAGGACTGGAGGTGCCCGGGCACAGGGTGTTTGCAGGTTCGGCTTTAGTAAATACTGCCGGCGATGTAGGAGGGTTCCAGTTGTTCAACTGTCTTCACACTATTATCAGTCCTTTTCGTTAGCTCATCTGGTTGAGTGTTCACAAGTTTTGGTATTTCTTAAGTATGAAGTTGAAAAATAGTATTTTAATAAATATTTGTAGATAAATGACTTATGTGTATTATGTTGAATATATGCAATTATATACTTTCATAGAGGATCATTTTCTCTTAATTCAATTTAGCAAATTATGTGCAGGTAAACAGTTTTTGAGCCAAAATTATATGAGGTTCTGGGGCAAAGAATAAGATAGTCCATGTCCTCAGGCTTTATAAACAGCCTAGTTGGGTAGTGAGACAACAGATTAATTTGAACACAGGAAGTGCTCTTGACTGGTTTCTGCTGGGAGCTGTGGGGACTTCAGGACGATCAGCACAGCCAGGATGTCAGGGGATGTTTCCTGGAGGAAACACCTTCCGAGCTGGATCTTCTAGGGTGAGTCAGGGTAGCCTGGTAAGGAAGGATGGAAAGGGCCTTGCAGAATGAAGGAGCACAAGAAAGGTGTTGGAACTGGACCAGCACACTCTACTGGGGGAACTAAGCCATTCCAAATGAGAGTAAGATGTGAGGGGTAAAATGGCAGGACTGCAGACAGATCTAGCTAGGTGGAATTTTGAGGGTGGTGTCATGTCCACTTTATGTCTGGTTTGTGTGGTCCCTGGTAACACACATCTGTTGCTTCAGGTGGAGGCGGTGCTCTGGAGGGGAGGGGCGGGTGGGGAGAGGGGTTGGAAAGGTTTGTAAGCCAGTCAACATTTGGGAAGTGTTCCGATGGATTCTCTGGGGGCAACATAAATGGGAGGAAGAAGGGCAGTGGCAGGGCTGGAGAGAGGGTGGGTTGAGAAAGAGCGAGGTGGTAAAATAAAGAGTTGGTCAGTTGTTTTTTGGGGGCGGGGAGGGGCAGAGAAAGGGAGAGAATCTTCAGCAGGCTCTGTGCTGAGATCATGACGTCTCACAACTCTGAGATCATGACCCAAGCTGGAAATCAAGTCAGTTGCTTAACCGACTGAACCACCAGGGCGCCCCTTGAGTTGGTCAGTTTTAAGGGATGATGACATGTTAGGTGGCAAGAAAAGGGAAGTTAAATTTGGAATTACATAGCCTTCACTTCAATTCGTGTTAAAGCTTTTGAGAAAACTTGCACCAGAAGAATTCTGCTACCCCCAACTCTTGAGTCACTTACGTCAGAGAAATCGTTTTCTGTTCCATTGGTTTAGTTTTTTACCCATTAAAGTGCACGCCCTGCCCTAGTAACAGCTGGTGTATCTGGATCAACCTTTAAATGCTATCACCCTTCATTCTGGAGAGATGGGGTGGGGGAGAAGGGTAGTAAACTTATAAATAAACTCAAGTCAGGGCTATCCATTATCTACCTAATTTTAAATTTGGAAAGTTCTATCTTGCTCTTTAGACTGTATGAATGTGTATCTAAAGTGGAAAATACAACAAAAAACTCATATTGTCCCACTGTCCTAAAGCACTGAGCTTGTTTTTTTCAAAGCTTACAGGATTTTTTTAAAAAACATTTATTTACTTGACAGAGTGAGTGAGCACAAGCAGGGGGAGTGGCAGGCAGAGGGAGAGGGAGAAGCAGGCTCCCCACTGAGCAGGGAGCCCGATGCAGGTCTCGATCCCAGGACCCTGGGATCATGACCTGAGCCGAAGGTAGACGCCGAACCGCCTGAGCCACCCAGGCGCCCCTACAGGATTTATTTTTTATTATTATGTTCAGTTAGCCAACATATGTCCATCATTAGTTTTTGATGTAGTGTTCAACGATTCATCAGTTGCATGTAACACCCAGTGCTACTGGATTTTGATTTTAAAGATTTATTTATTTGAGAGAGCAAGAGAGCACGAGCGGGATGGGCAGAGAGGCAGAGAATCTCAAGCAGGCTGTGCTGAGTGCGGAGCCTGACACAGGGCACGACCCTAAGATTATGACCTGAGCGGAAACCAAGTGTCAGACTGGGCCATCCAGGCACCCCGCAAAGCTTACAGGATTTTTAAGTAAATTTCACTGTCAAAGTGAAACAGCTACTGTATCTTCTGCAAATTTAGTGCCTCCCTGGGATCCTGCACCTGGGCACATGCAGGACCTCTCATCAGGCTGCCCAGAACAAAGCTGAGCTCTTTGTAGTTTGTTCATTCTTACTGAGGGCCACTGGTTTCCTGTTACCCTGTGTCTCGCTTTTTTAGCAATTTGTTGTAGTTGTCGACTAGCAGCATATCCACCGCTGAAGTGAAACTCTAATATGACAATTATTACTACAGATTAAATTGCCTTGGGAGTTTTTTAAAAGGACGCCATGTGGATATTAGCGCTGGCTTTCTTGTTTTTTCTAACATTCCACCAGAAGGTTATAGGATACATACTTCATCGTCACATATCTTTTGAAATGAAAAGCCTGCTCTTCTTGGGTGACTCTGGAGCCAGATCATTATTAATTATTAGTTACAATGTTGTGCACTGTAATACAGAAACAAGCTGTTGGCTCCCTTCCCTGCTTGGAGCCAAACTCGCCAAAAGATTTACCCTCTTGTTTACGGAACACCAGGGGGCGCTCTTGGTAAGTTAAACTTCTCGGGAGGGAAAAAACAAAGCCGAGGCCAAACCAAATGGACAAGAAACTTGCCAACAACTGGAACAATAATTGCCAGTTCTGATTCGTAGAAAGGAAAGGATAGGTTATGATCTCAAGTCCTGCGCGAAGACACACAGCAGGCCAAGAATGTGTGCTTTTTCAAACAAACAAGGACTGATGTACAGGGCACCCTAACCTCCCCAGCCTTGTTTCCATTTCACCTCTCACTCAACACGCTGACTTCACAGTTGTCTGCAAGAAAGCAAGCGGTAACCCACACACAGGGCAAAACCGGGCATTTCATAACAGGAAGCCTTCCAGACAAGGCAACACCTATACTTTCCTACTATTTCTGAAATTATAGTGCTCTTCCTTTGAGTATGTCTGAGACGACGCACTTTGCTCTGATTCACCTACATTAGTCTGAAGGCTTCCTAGGACACAAATACTATCCCTTGCCCCTACATCAGAATTTGTCTAACAGAACAAAGAGGAGCCTCTTAGATTCTTGGTGTTAAGTGGATGAAATGGCTAGGCATTTTCAAGTTCCATTTTTATGTGCTTTCTCAATAATACCCCCATGAACACTGACTCTTCTCCATACTTCTCTGAAGAATCCAAGGTTGTGTATTTTCAAGCTAGAACATGCTTAAGACCCAAATCATTCCAGGTTATAAGCATTCCTTGCAAACTAAATATATGAAAATCTGCATCTATATGAAAGAAATGGGAGGGTGTTTATATTTTTTTACATTAGATTCCTCACAGGGTTCTTTTATGCATTTGTATACATTTAAAATAATTCAATAGAGGGGCACCTGACCGGCTGACAGAGGGAGAGAGGAAGGAGAAGCAGGTTTCCCACTGAGCAGGGAGCCTGACGTGGGACTCGATCCCAGGACCCTGAGAATGTGACCTGAGCCAAAGGCAGACGCTTAACCAACTGAGCCACCCAGGCGCCCCAGGAACGCATTTATGAAGATGGACCCACCCACACTTGTTCA